TTGAAGCAACTGCCATGTGATTGGTTGATTAGATAATTGCATTAATGAGAAATTGAACAGGTGTTCCTAATAATCCTTTAGGTGAGTGTATTAGTCCACGTCTTCCGTTGTTGCCCAGATCCGTCATTGTCGTGTCGTGATGTTCGTTCACGTTTGCCCGGAATAAACTCTGTTTATTCATATTTACGGCTACGCTCGCCTGTTTCCCCGCTTGCCTCGCACGCCCATCGTCACATAATGACGGATCTCTACAACTCACCTCCGCGGATCGAGGACCAACGCCTCGACCTGCTCAGCGAGGTACTTTACTTGCTGAACCTGCCAGAGGTCCGTGAGGACCCTGGACTACGGGACCTAGCCAGCAAGAGTGGGACCCTTCTTCAGGAGATGACCTTGCTCACTGGCGCGCACGTCATAGCCGACGTGCGCAAAAATCTCCGGCAGCTGGTGGAAGGGGTGACAGCGGCTCTAACCGCTTGCACTCTCCGGCACTTCTCCATCGCAGCCAACCCCAAGTCGGAGAAGAAAGAAGAGGCGTAAGGAGAGGGCACCAAAAGACGCCCCAACCGTCTTCCTGAGAGCTGCTTCTCTCTCCCCAGCTTCGCTCCTTGTTGGTGATCAGGGGGAATCCCATGGACATCCCTGCAAGTATTAAAAGCGCCCGTCGCTGTGATAGAGCAGCCGCTGCTGGCCGCCTACCATTACCGGGTGGCGCGCCTGGCTAATAAAGGGGCCAGGGCCGTCTGGGATGCAATTCCCCGGATCCCCAAGGCCCTTAAAGGGGCAGCGCCTGCCCGCCTGGCGCCGATCCTGGCACCTATCCCTGACCTGCCTGTTCCTGACCTGCCTGTTCCCATCCTGCCCGCGGCTCCGGCTGCACCGCCTGCTACAGCTGCTGCCGCCACTCTGCCCGCGGCACCGCCTGCTGCAGCTTCCGTTGCCGCTCTGCCTGAGGTGCCTGCTGCGGTGCCCCCTGCTGGCCACGTGATGGCGGCACCCGCCTAGGCGCCCCCTTGTGGCCGCGCACCCGAGGTGCCTGCTGAGGCGGCCCCCGCTAGCCACACGTCCATCCAGCCTACCTTGCCTGATCTGCCTGTCTTGCCAGCTCCTGTTCTGCCTGTCCCGCCTGTTTTGCTGGCGCCACCTGCCCTGTCCGTCCTGCTTCGTCCGGCGGCTGCTGTACCGCCCATTGAGGTTCCTGCTGGGGCAGTTCCTGCTGCGGCACCCCCTGCTGGCCGTGTGTTGTCGGTGCCTGCTGAGGCGCCCCCTGCTGGCTGCGAGTTGGCGCTGCCCGCTGCCGCCGCCACGCCTGCCTCACCTGTCTCGTCTGCCCTGTCCGCCTCACCAGCGCCCCCTGCTGGCCATGAGGTGACAGTGCCCACTGTCGCTGCTACGCCTGCTACAGCTGCAGCGCCCCCTGCTGGCCGAGAGTTGGCGGTGTCTGCTGCCGCCACACCCGAGGTAGCTGTGCCTCCTTCGCCTGTCGCCACACCCGAGGCAGCTGTGCCCGCCGCCACTCTGCCCGTCCTGCCTGTCGCGGTGGTTGACACTACACCTGTGGCCATGCCTGAGGTCCCGGCCCCGCCTCCGGCCGCGCCCGAGGCTCTTGCTGCAGCTCCGCCCCCTCCGGCTGCGGCACCCGCGACCCTCTTGTCTGCTGCTGCCACTACGCCCACGGCACTCCCTGCTGCGGCCACCACTCTGCCCAAGGCTGCCCCTGCTGCGGCTATGCCTGTCCTGCATGTCTCGCCGCCTACGCCTGCTGCTCTGCCCACGGCCCTGCCTGATGCCGCCGCTCTGCCCGCGGCCCCGCCTGTCCTGCCTGTCCAGCCCTCGGCCCCGCCTGCCCTGCCTGTCTCGTCCGCAGTCCACCTGCCTGCAGCTGTCCCAGCTTCGCCCGCAGCTACGCCTGCTGTCCCGGTCCCCGCTCCAGTCCCCCCAGCCCTGGTTCCAGTCCCCGAGGAGGTCCCGGACAGTCCAACCACCGCTCCTT